GGATGTTGTACAGACATTTTAATAGACAAGTTCTGTAGACTGCAGCGCGGAATCCAAGATCCATGTGCAGCATATCGTCTGGCGTTGACTACACAAAAGACAGCTACTGCACTTCGCTAACAGTTTACCGCGCTTCCTATAGTGTATCGTCACCTTACCCGTTCTTGAGACAGTTCAACCCGCCTCCAGGGCCAAGCCATTTAGCAGTTACTGCAGCAAATGTAGTGAAAAGACCACTCTGTTTGCGTGTGCACAGCTCTCCTGGAGTGGACGACATAAGACCGAAGACATTAAAGACAACCGCCATGAACATCTCTGAACAGTTAGTTTAGTTTTCTCAACGGCGTCTACATGAAGTGCAGGTTCCCACAAGTTGGGAACATAGAGTATTTACCCATATTAGAAAGAGCTGACGTCGTATATCTGGAATTTTCTAAAATTTTCGACCGCCTGAACCACCGCATCCTCCTTCACAAACCTCGAATTAATGAAATTGCTGACCCTGTGCTGAGTTGGATAAGCAATAGCTCCATTCACTGATGGCTGGGCCACTTGTTGCGCATGCCACCCCATCGACTCCCGCGACTTGCGTTGTTTGCACCCCCGGGTCTGGATAGAAGAGAAGAAGGGGAGGCCAATTAATGACTTAGTCAAGAGGAGTGAACAATTTCACTTGGAGTTGGCGTCTGTTCATACATCCCGACTGCCGGGCTGAGGTCCCAAGGACGATGAACACGTCTGGTTGGACATACTTACTGCTATGTCTAGGAGCCGGCCCCAGTAGCGTTTACATTGTAAGTTACTTTTCCAGCCCCTCTTCTTTAGATTCACCCTCTAATTACCATCTCATTGCAAACGAATAGTATGATATTTAATATTATATTACTTGCTTTTTGGATTTTTTGTAATGTAATTTTTGTATCTTATATTTTATGTAATGCGGCACATTAGCTTTGTTTCTCATCATTAGCTAACATGTTTTCCTGATGATGCTGATTATCATTCAATGTCGGCTGAATGTGAGAGTCCGCAGCTACATCTCAGATTCAATTGAAGTTCAGTGTGGTATGTCACAATGATTGATACTGGGACTAAGTTTATTCTTAGTACTTGTCAACGATGTTGCTGCTGTGTTTCGTTCGGACTTCCTACTATTCGCAGATGAAGTCAAGTTCTGGCGGGACATAAAGCAGTGGACGATCATGCGGAACTACGAAGTGAACTCAACTGGACCTATACATGGTCATCTGAAAACAAACTTTAGTTTGACTTGGTGAAATGCGATTTCTGAGCATACGATCTCACTGTATTCATAAATGTCGACTAGGAGAACGACAATGCGCCGCACAGAAAAGTGGCCTCGGGATAATCATACTGGATAACCTTAGCTGTTCAAAACAGTCTGAAAACGCACCGAGTTGTTTCTCAAATTACATTTTGTTGACCCCATTGAATGATTCATCCATTCGAAATACCTCGTACTAGTTTGCGTAAGTTCGTCTATTTGTGCCAGACAATTATCCACCCCAGTAATGCATCATTTGTAATGTGCGACATCATTACATTAAATGGGGCCTATCGTACCCCAAACTTGTTCGCTTGTGGTAATGGGATTCACTGCTTTTCCACAGTAAATGACTCAACTATCAGGAAACTTTTCTCGGTCGCCTAAATATTTAGTATCTACTTTGCATAAGTTAATCCGTCGTTCACGGATCAGTTGTCGGGAAATTGGGTTTTCTATATGATTTATCCTCACAGTGTATGATCGAACGCCTTCGATTGCACGATTTAAACCGTGTCCCGTAGGCCGTAAACAATGTAAATACGACCCATCCAAACTAACTTCTGGCGACTTGGTTTGGTCTGTGATATCCGGCTTCTTTGTTATCGTTTTTGAGTCACAACACTTGTGTGCGAACTTACGGTCCTGTCTTCAGCCAGGGATCGATTTTCTGTCTGTCGGTACATTTCATTTCGGGTCGCTGATGGACTCTCGTGGAGCCGACACAACCCCGGTATATAATGATGGCAAAACTAAGGTATACTTTCCAGATGTGCTCATTCGAGAAGCGTGGTTATAATCCTGATACAATATTCTTCATGGTTTAGGCCACATATCGTGTTGGTTGCTTTGTTACTCATACAGCATCTGAATACGAACGATCAGGCACACGTCGGTCATTCGCTTGCTCTATGTTAGCGTAGTGAGGCCATCATATCGAGCAACCACAACACGAAGTCAGCATTGTCTTTACAATGACGACGCGAACTTCGAAAGCATGCGGCTTTTCCATGCGAAGGCGTTTTGTTGCATCTGTATGTGTGATGGGGATTTCATAAAATCCCGTGTCATTACCTAAAGTCGCCATTGCAAGAAGTTTATCAGCCTAAAGCTGTTTACCCTAACACAGTCAAACAAATGTCGGTTGATACCATAGCTGTATCTAACTCCTAGGCAGATCCCTATCCCCAACTGTCAGTCTGAGGTCCCAGAATACAGGGTTGACTGCAAGGTTTTCGCTTTTCCAACTTTATGAGCGGCCCATAATTCAACTCATTAATACAGTCCTGTGGCTGTAATGTTCCATGCGAACTGATTTCTATGATCCTGTTGATCGATCGATTGCTCAGATCATCATCTCACTGCCAACACTTAAATCATAAGGTACACTAGGTTTGGGTATGCCTGATGATGGTTACTCTACCGGCAAAGCTAGACGATTTGACCTCGTAAGCCATACAACAGTCAGAATTGTGTTGAAATCCTCCACAAAAATTCAATGCAAAGAAACACAAATGAGGCTTTCGTCTGCGCAAATCACAACTGGCAACATATAGTTCAACAGTGAACCAAGAGATAGTTGCTCATTCAGAACGAGGGTACAACTAGTGAACTCAACCGGTCATCACTTGTGAGCAAGTACTGAACACCAAGCCAGCTCTGATCAGAACGACTGAGAGTGTGGGCAAGAGAATGGCAACTAGCAGGAAATAGCGGGCTGTATCAATTGTCTGATTAGTGTACGGACATACTGGTGAAGCGTCAGCTAATGATTTTTGAGAGAAATCGTCGCCACTAAGCTTGGTCAGACAACCACCATCCATTCAGAGAGGTGCTAGACGGATTCTTGGCCGGATCTGAACACCCTAACTCGGAGTGCATCCCTCACGATTCCTGCGGCATTCGAATCCGCGACCTTAACCATACTAGACCTCAACTTCTGCCACTGTGCCATTGGCAATGACAGCAACCGCCACCATGACCACACTTAAATTGGGTATACTTCTGCTTACCCTTCACTGAATTGCACCTTACTGTCCTACTGAGGACTGGTTTAGCTATCGTCTCTGAGTCAAAGGTCATCTTATGACCATCTATGCTAGTTTGAATGTACGTAAGTCCAGTTGTGACGAATTCCCTTGCACTCACCACATAGCTGAGACTATTTTGCGAAGACCGTGAAGTCAACCCGTATTCGAAGACCTCGTTGCTGAAAACAGACTGAAAAAGCAACAAGGAAAGCCAATCAACACTTGAGTCTCTTGCGGATAGCGTTTGGCCAGTCTGATCCCACCATCTTTTCACAAATGCTCAACTGTTACGTGAGGCCAAATGTTGAACACGCCATCCAGGTCTGGTACCCATGGTCAAAGCATGATATTGCTGCTCTTGAGACTCCATAAAAAAGCGCAATAAAAAATGTTAAGGGCCTGACTCATCTTTACCAGCATAGACTACAAACAGGAGTATTTGGTAGTCAATATCGTCGCCTGCGTGGTGATCTTATTTTGGTGTTTCAAATGTTAAAGGATCCAAACCGCACATGTCGACACGTATTGACATTAAGTCACAACACGTCACTCCGGGGTCATCACTTGAAGTTAGCTACACAGTACATTCGACTGGAATGCTGCCAGCATCTTTTCTCACTTTGTGTGTTCCATTGGTAGAACGTTCTCCGAATTTCCGGCATCTCCGCTTCAAAACTCAATTTGATGAAAAAGTACGCAGCATGCACTACATGTTAGCCAATGCTACTGAGACACATAATGACAAATGCGAACTACGTGCACAAGTGAAACTACGGTGAGTTCACCGATATACGTTACTTTGGTTTTCGTAGATACATTCACATCCTGTTTACACACTTCACCTACGGAAACTATCTATCTTTGTTTTTTAACGGTGATAAATACATTCATCCATTGAATTGTTTTAGGTTGGCAGGAGTGGGCGCACTCCCTTGGTCCAGCCTGTGTGGTAGTAGATCGAGATCGAAATGCGGAATGCTACATTCCTACGGTCCGCTAGGAAGCGATTTCATCTCCGGATATTTCCGGGTTTTTAAGGTTATTGTGTACCGCCTACGTCTACTATCCAGGTGTGCTACTGGACTCCTCTATTTTGTAGTGCTCCCGCGCGTGCACGGCCATCGCTTGCGGAAAGCTATGAACGTAAACCTTATTGAATACGGATTACATGATAATCGTTCATCGCATGCACTTCAGAGAATTAGAGCTGACCTCATTGCACTCAAGCTGTCAGATACCACTGCGTCGAAAACGGAATCCCGGCGAACAAATTGATAAAACTAAATTTGTGAAACTTCTCTACCTTCGACGAGGCAGCCCAACAAATCGCGGCGGTTTATCCGATCTGTCCGGGTTAGCACACCTACTTTTTCCAGTTCTTTAAATAAGACAGGCACAGATGCTTACATACAGCAGTAACTTACGGCTCTGTGATCATACTGTGACCACGAACAGCTAAGTATCTAGTCATTCATTTCTCTGCCATTGGCAATACTTGACATGTATTCGCCATTTGACGTACGCGAGCAGTGCTGTGGCAAATAAAATCTGTCCCTGAGTGGCTTATGGTGATTCATGGTTAAGAAACAAATGAATCATCTTTGGGCTTGGCTTCAGATTCGTGCCTTATGTGACAGATTTGTGATGACTGGAAGTTACGCCCAGAATGAGTCATCTAGGGTGGATCAATTCATGAGCACTGACTTACCCCAAACCAGCGTCAGATAATCCATAGGTGTGTGTAGGTTTTCTGTTGGAACATAAATCGAGTCCATAGGGAACATGTGGGATAAAAAGAGTTAAACAACTGTCAGCATACAATCTCAGCCAGTTGCACTATTTGAAATTTTCACTCGTCCCATCCTGATGTATTACAATATAATCTGTGGCATTATGAGAAAATCTGGCATGACATCGATAGAAAACCTTCAAAGGTCAGTTACTAAAAGTCTGTTGGGAAAAATTCCATCAAGAACTATCAGGAGCGGTGCCAGGGTCTCCATCTCGACCCATTTTGGTGGCCAAAGCTGAAGCATAGCTTGATACTGCTACACAGTGTAATTTATAGCAATGCCTATTGCAATCTATCCACATTAACAGTACGGCACAATTCCATTTGGGGCCTACGTAACATAGAAGTTACCCTGGTTATACCACGATGCAGGACAAAATTGCAGTTTAACTTCTTTCTCCCCAAGATGTGGAAGCACGGGATTATCACTCCAATCTACAAAAGTGGTGGCCGTGCAGAATTAGCGAATTATCATCCGTACGCGAGTATGTGCCAGAGAAGAGTCGCGGTCTCCAAGCAGCGGAATGCTGTACAATCCGCTTTTCCTGGACTGCAATCGGGCATGTCCCCATCTCCTTTGTCTTCTCCAACGCCGTTCCAACTTCACTTTTATCCCCCAGATTTCAACCCCCGATTCTTGGCCCCCCCAACATGCTTTGCTGGGCATTTATCTTTTAATTTCAACTCACATGTGAACGCGGAGCGTCACTCCTCTCCTGTCGACTTGCGGCACAATAGCTGAGGTGTTTCCCACCTCTAGCTAACGTGTATAATGATGATGATGATGATGATGAGAACAACGGGCGGAAACTGACCGTACCTACGAGAGCCAAACAGTATTCACGACAACGAAAATCAGGCACGACTCGCAACGTCTGGTTAAACAAATTCCGTTAGACCTGACAACTAGCATTAACAAGGATGAAGCAACCGAACACTAACTCTCGGTACCTGTGGCTCAAATGCCTCTTGTCGAGGTAAAGCCCCCCGGAACCTCAGTTACATATGCAGCGATTGCTGCAAATACTAGCCGGGAGGCCGCAACGGCGGCCCCTTCTGTTGTAAACGCCGTTAACGCGAATAGAGGGACAAACAGTAAACTATCAACACTTGTCAGCAGCTCAGGACCCTACCTTGTAGATCAAGGAAAAAGGGATCTAACAATAGTGCTTGGACAGTTGTGTACTCAAACGTCCCTGAATCTACCGCCATCGAATTACGGGGTAAGTTATCGGACGACCAAAACCAATGGAACTCATTGTGCGTGCTGATGAAGGCCAAAGCCTATTACCAATTACTCGTCATCCGAACTCGCCACATTATGAAGACTCCAGACTTATCCGGGTAACCCTAGAATCCTCCACCGAAGTAGAAAACGTTTTGCTCTCCACAAGCGCTTTAAGACGCTGATGCGGTGGGATATGAATCTATCCTGATGTCCCTCTGGAGCGCGCGACAATCAAAAAGAAACACCAAAGAGGGACACAGGAAGCAAGACCGCCTAAACACAATCTTCATACATGGCGTGCCAGAACATCCTTTTAACGATGTTCAAGAGACCGGAAAGCACGATTTAGAACAGTGGCGGTTCATTCGTGAAACACTTCCTTTGGATAATATTGTGGCGCTATCGCTCACCAGGATACCTCTCTCACCAAATTATAGAGGATGCGGCCCTAGAATCCTAAAACTTGTGGTTCAGTCAGAGCAAAAAGCAACGGATGTTTTGGATCGATGGCGGAGAAATCGGAAAAGTCTTCCTTCTGAACTTCGGTTAAAGGTCGCAGAAGCTTTGCAAAGTTCAAATATTAAAGCACCTGAAGCAGCAAGCATACCGACGAATGTACAGAAGCGTAACTTGACTGCTGCTTTAATTGACTCTGACGTAGGTCTAAACGAAGATTGGGACGCACCTTGGCCGAATCAAGTTTCAGACGAGGTATCATTATCCCATCAAAAAACGAGTAACTGCCGACCTCCCATCGGTCGGCATTCTCCCACACTTGACTCCTTTAGCCCTCTGTGGGCTCCTAGAGACCGAGAAACTGGCCTGCTTGTATACGAATGCTCAGGGTCTTTTAATAAACTGGCCGAACTGAAAGATCGCCAAGCTTCCGGGTCATATGATGTCATTGGTATCACCGAGACATGGTTGCACACGGGAATGACGGACGCTGAAGTTTCGCTACCGGGCATGTCGCTGATCCGGAACGATAGGCTCACAAAAGGAGGAGGGGTAATCCTGTATTACCGAAGCGACTTACAGTGCGAAGCCGTGGAGGATTCAGACTCGCAGTTCCCCGACTCTCTTTGGTGCCGCTTGCAGTTAAAAGGCAGGGACGCTTGCCTTATTGTCTTGGTGTACCGCCCCCTAACTCTACACCCGAAACCGACTGCCACCTAGCGGCTGCTTTAAGATGCAGTTTACAGCGAAAGTACACTCACATACTTATCATGGGTGATTTCAACGTACATTGTTTAGAAACTCCTGCCACGATCGGAGAACAATTCAAAGCCGATCTACAAGATCTCGTAACCACTGTTCCTCTTTACAATCACATCACTTTGCCCACTCGGTTCAGAACAGGTAACAGGCCATCTGTGCTGGATCTTGTGCTTACCAACGAGGAGCATATGATTGATGTGTTGGTTTTAGACTGCCCATTGGGTCGCAGTGATCACGCAGTCATCAGTTTCAACTTCGTCTGCTATGCGGAATATCGGAATGAGAACGATGAGACTGTGCGAACCATCACAAGCTACGATCGATTAGCTCAGCTCGTCAGTGCTACAACTTGGTCGTTCCTTGCCGAAGAACCCCCGGAAGTCGCCTGGCTCGAGTTCGTCAACAAATTCAGTCAGCTGATTGCAGAGACTTCAGAGATAAGAGTTTGCAATAAGTGTACATCAGTTTCTTTCGTTAGGAGCAGAACTCGAAAATGGATGACAGTACGCAACGCAGCATGGCGAGTGTACAGAGAAGCTCCAGCACAAGAAACTTGGGACAACTACGTAGCCCAACGTAACCACTGCACTCAACTGCTAAGAGAAGACAAAGCCGCCTATCAGCAGAACATCGCAAAAGCCTTCAGTGCTAACCACAAACTGCTGTACAAGCACGTCAATAGCCTACGAAAGGTGAGGCAAGGATTTCCTCCACTCAGGACGGCCGATGGCCCAACAAGAACGGCTGTGGAAGCAGCAAACGCGCTGCGGATGCAATATGCCCCCACGTTTCAGAGGGTCTTGCCACCAAGCGATCTTCCAACCTTTGTCGTCTCCTCGCCAGGACTAACCCACATCACTTTTACCGCGGAGGCTGTATTGCAAAAGCTGACGTCTCTACGCAAACACAGCTCGCCGGGTGTCGACACCATTCGTCCAGAGGCACTGGAAGCAGCAGCAAGCCAACTGGCAGGAACTTTAGCTCAGTTTTTCCAGCGCTGCTTAGACCAGAATCAAGTTCCCGCTATGTGGAAGCTTGGAATAATAACCCCGATTCACAAAGGTGGAAGCAGAACTGATCCCTCCAACTACCGCCCAATATCCCTTCTTCCTATACTCTCCAAGGTCATGGAATCCATAGTTGCCGATGCACTGGTGTGCTATCTGGAAAACTGTAACATCATCACGCCTGAGCAGCACGGCTTCCGTCGACAGCGGTCATGCACAACGAATTTACTAATCGCACGCAGTAGTTGGACCGAGTCAGCTGACGCTGGAGAAGGCATTGATGTGATCAACCTGGATTTTTCCAAGGCTTTCGATCGTCTAGACCATCGGATACTACTCTCCAAGCTCCAGTATTACGGGATCGGCGACCCTCTTTAAGCTGGATTGCCAACTTTCTACTTCAACGGCAATTAGTGGTCAGAGTTCGGAGCTCTTTATCGGACCCCATACAAGTCGAGTGTGGTGTGCCGCAAGGCTCAGTACTAGGTCCACGTTTGTTTTTGGTGTTTATTAATGACCTTGCACAGGAAATCGCTTCAAACTTCCTAATGTTTGCCGAGGATATCAAGATTTGGCACAGGATCCAAGTGAATGCCTACCAGAATCTGCTTCAGAGTGACCTAGATACGATATATCAATGGTCAACCCAAAACTTACTGCATTTCAACGTCAGTAAATGCAAGGTACTTTCCATCCGACATCAGAGCAACTACTCATACCGGCTCGGAACGAATGTACTGCAACAATCAACTCTCGAACGTGACTTGGGTGTCCTGGTTCAAAATGACTTGGGTTGCTCCAGGCAATCCGAAAAGGCCTCGAAGACTGGGAACCAACACGTCGGGCTGTTGCGACGGGCGTTTGGACAAATAAACAGCTCCATATTTCGACAAATGCTCAGTGCGTATGTTCGCCTCCATGTCGAATACGCAATTCAAGCCTGGCATCCATGGCTGAAACACGACCTTAATGCACTGGAGCAGCCACAACGTCGGGTATCTAAGAACGTAATTGGAATGCGCAATCTTTCATACCAGGAGAGGCTGCAACGATTGCGGGTATTCAGTGGAAGCTATCGCAGACTACGAGGCGACCTGATTATGGCATACTTGATTCTGCGAGACCCACATCATGTGTGCCGCTCTTTACTGCGACTCAGCACCAATACAACCCTGAGCGCCCACTCATTGAAACTCTCAGAACAGTATAGCCGTCTGGAGTGCCGCAGAATTTTTTTTCCATTCGTGTCTGTCACCCGTGGAATGCTCTCCCAGAATCGGTCGTCTTTGCACCGACACTAACAGTATTTAAAAGACGGTTGGATGACGCACTCATCCACTTACACCTTGTCACTTAGCGCTACGTCTCCATCCTACACCTGGAGTTTATCATGGAATTATTTGATGTTAACTGCGGGTGCTGTGAATCTAAGCGGATTGCAGGACTACGGCGGAGCAAACGATAAGTCCTTATTTTCATATTTAAAGTACTAACTGTTTTACTAT